CACAAAGTCTAACCTGTTAAACGGATGTGTTCATATGTAATTCTTTCAAACTTTGGTTTTGTACAAATAAGCCCTGCTTGATGGAATTTAAAATATTTTTAAATTTTTTCTCGTAAAGGGAAGGAAGTCTTAGGTAGCGAAGATGCAATAAATATGTAACAGAAAAAACAAAAACAATCTTTACAATTTATCAGCTCACATACTTTCATTGTAGACAAAAAGAACTTAGGTCTTAGAAGCCATTTTTAAAATGACTAAACAACTTTCTGTTCTCAAATGCAATAAATCATTGGGTAATTATTTTGTAGTTTTAATAACAAATTTTCTAAAAAATATATTCATATGGTAATTAATCTGTTTGTAAATATATCAGTGGTACAAAAGCAACTGCTAAGGATAATTCACCACTTATATTTTTTAGAAGTAGTTGTAGTTTAAGTACATTCAATATTTGTTAGTTTACAAGTTGTTTCCTATTGACCTTCAGCTATTTGGTTGAAGAAGGATTAGTTTCTTTGTAAACCAAGTACGGATGTATCCTTCCTCTAGTTATGATCTATCTAAACAAAAACACCTTAGGTGTGAAAAAAGGTGCGGCTAAAAAAGGATTCATTGTGTGACATAAAATCGGTAGTCACATTGGTAGTTATACTTATAGCATTGATATGAATTTTACAGCAAATATTCATTTATTTAGTTGGCTAGGGCATGTTTTTTGTTCAACTTGGGGCAGGATTATGGGTAAAACATTCCTTTAAATCACACACTGAATCCATTTTTTGACCACACCTTTTTTTCAAACCTAAGGTGTTTTTTGATTAGATATCATGACTTTTTTGTCAATATACACCAACAAATCACAGCAAGTATGAAAGTGACACTCTATAGTAACCCACAACAGCTTTAGGAACACAACCCTCAGTTATTCAGAACAGACCTTTACTTTACAGAACCAACCAGATTCATTAAAATATATGGTGGAAGTTTTTCCTCTCTAAAACAGTGTTAACAGCATCCTTTATAGTAACGCAATGGAATTGAGATTAACAGTTTCTTGTCATCAACCACATGCAATCGGTACAACTGTATCAAGCATTACTATTTATGCTAATTGCTTAATATAATATCAGGTGATGTTTAACACTCTTTAAGTAGGATAAACTTGTGCTTACAATTGGCAATGAATAATAACCATCCACCCGTATGATTATTTGAAAACTTGAGCAACA